ACGCTCGTTTCAAGTTATTTCGCTCGTGCCGCGTAGTTATAGTTGTTCGAGGGAAATCTGTCGGCGCAAGGCACTCGCGTTACTTGTTGTTAGGTATCAGTTCAATTCACCAGACTGTTGACTACTGCACTGAGATGCAATAGTAATGAAATGTATAAAGATTCGCGTTTGAAACGCGAGCATTCATATACGTTCATCTTCCAAACGAGGGATCTCGTGAACTCTTTGCATCGCACCGGTCAGAGAAGAGTGGATAGAAGCAGGAGATGAAGAGATCAGCTGGTGGGACAAATCTCACCGTTGGAGCGCGATGTGACCGAAGGGATGCAGAGGGTCGGGCGAGAAGGAAAGAGTTTCGAGCGAGAAAAAAATAGTGCCTTTCATGCTGGAAAATAAAATGAGTCATTCAATGAAGTGGTCGTAACGTCGGCGTAACGAATCGGGGTGAAAGCTGGGTAACAGTGCAGTCCAGGCTCGAGACTTCTCCATCCCTCCCTTCCTCCCTCCATCATCCCACGCTTCATGTAGTGGCCATGCTCTCCTCAACGACCCTCCTCCCCCTGCCTCCCCATCTAGCAAATGGATGGGATAAATTGCGCTCTTGGCACTTGACTTTTAAACCCGCTAGGCGGATCTGTCCAACTATACTTACTTTTAAATGTCTCTCCCTCGCCTTGGCCAAGGGTTTCAGCAGCGTCGACGACGACGACGATGACGACGACGACGCCGCCGCGCTGACGACGCGGGTAATGACGCGACGCCTCACGGATTAAGCCGTTCGAGGCTTACGAGCTGGTGATTATATGACGCCCGCGCGATCATCGGATGGCCAATTACGCCTCCGTAAACGGTCGTCGTTGCCTGCAAACTCGTCGATTCGCGGCGGCCACGCGATGGGTAACGTTCTCTCGTTGAACTGGGATTAGACGTCACCGTGGAGGAGATAATTGCTTATATTGTCGCAGTAAAGATTTCACGATACCTTTCTAACGGAACGGGAGAACGGACTGAAGGCGGTATACGTGTCTCGTTCGTCTGCGAAAGTATCTTCGCGAATAGAACGTTATCTCGCGATATATTATATACTTACGGAAGTATAGATACATGTATTTTTACTGGGTTAGTCGAAAAAATTCGGTTTCATTTTCTTCTTTCTTCGTAAGCCGGCCCACTTTTTACGAAAGAAACAGATGAGCGATGTCAAAACTTCGATGAAGGATCGTAGGATGATTGCAACGGTGATTACTTGATTGACTTCTTTCCCGTTGAATGCGGCAAAATCAAACTTCACTCCAGAATCAAACCGAACTTTTTCACTGATTCAATACTTATCACGTCTACATTTATTTGTTACTATCGAATACGAATAAGCGGATATCAAGCGGTGCGATGAGTCGCGGTATCTTTTGAATTTTCGACTAAAATACGAAGAACTAAGGATCTCTTAAAGGGGGTTAAAAAAATATGATAGCAATGAGACGAGTAATCGCGGCAAATGAAACATATCGTACCGTGAGAAGAGTTTATACATGATCAAGATTCGAGTCGGAAGTTTACATCTTAGCGAATGATGATGATGACGACGACGATGATGATGAAACACGCGTATCGATACGGTCTGGCCGGGAGGGTCGCAGATTTGGCGAGCGCACGCGTGACGAGACAATTTTATCCGACGGCCGATTCGTAATTCGCGACACGTTACCGTGACGTGACGCTTAAAGAACACCATTGTCCCGCCACGGTTGGTCCACAAGCGAGGTAGGATTTAATAATGTAGAGAGCCAGGCTAGACGTTGTGTACACATCGGGATTGGTACACACAGCTTTCGGGCCGTCTTCAATATCTGAGCAGCTCAGGAACGGCATTGTCTAGGACGCGGCGTCGTGGACTCGTTCGTTGCGCTTTATAACCGGCTCGACCGTTGAAGACGATGACAAGCATTATGCACCGGATAAAGTTTGTTCACTGGCCGATACTCGCGCCCGTGCGCGCCAAGGAAAGCGCGTTTCTTTTGCGAGCGAACCTTCCGCCGCACGCGCGTTAGAAACTCGGTCGCGAAAGGAATTTCGTTTTTTGACGCAACAAAGGCGAAAGAGAAAAAAACAAAAATATGGTATATAAAACTTGGGCAACTGCGGTACCGCCAGTGTTAGTTGAATCGAGGAAGCCAAACAACGCGCTCGAACGGACTCGCGAAATAGGAAGCTCTCTCGCGAGAATGCGGAACCTTGCCTGGATATCTTTATAACGTCTTTCGGACGGGCTGCGGCGGGCTGAAAAGAATTTTACGGACTTCGATCAATCATGATCGTTGCGCGAGAGCGGCAATTGAAAGCACTCCGATAAATTCGAGAGCGCGCGCGGGAAAGTAGCGCAATTTTTCAACGGGCCGCGATTCTTCTCCGGCGTCTCGTGCTTCATCCCCGGCCCTCGCGGCGGGTTAAGCCGGGCAACTAATTTGCGGGCGTATAGCGTAACGGCGAAATTTGACGAAGAAAAATGAGGATGCGCCGCGAGACGAAGGAATGCCCATGTCCTCGTCGTCCTCGACGCCGTGGCATCCACGAGTCGAGCGTCCGCCCGGCCGACGAGGACGAGTCCTATTCCAATTCCAGCGAGTTAATTGGAATTGTTTGCTGCAGACACCGCGAGCCGCTTGCCCTCGCGCGCGCCGTTCTGAATCCTATACCTCGAGCAGCGCCTGCCTTTGTCGCCGGTCCTCCGCCTCTCTCTCTCTCTCTCTCTCCCTTCCCNCCCGGCCGTTGCTGTCGTGACTTCAGCATGAAATTCACACCAGCAGCGCGGCGCCATCGCGCTCATGCACTTCCTGACATCTTGAGAGGAATTAATTTCTACTATCCACGTACTCCCCGGTACTCGCGAAGGGCCTTCCGTTAAAATTCTCGCCGCCGTTCTTACGAATTCTATCCGTCCGAACGGGCTCGCTACCGAAAGGAATGCCCGCACCGAAAGAAAAATAGTTATTTTCGGGGACAACGATATCCTTTTTTCACTTTAACCAGAAAAATAAGCAAGAGAACTATTTTTCTGGTAAGGTGAAGTAAGCTATTTTTTCTGTTACTATAGCGTCAGTGGTAATAATTTTACTTGCATGTTGCTACTATTATTTTACGAAGAAAAAAATGATATTTTTCTCTCGGTACGGCATCTTGGTCGCGTTCCGTGGTAGAAATTCATTCAGTCGATCCTCTTACAGATCGATCAAAATCCAAAATTATCGCTGTGTGCACGATTTGATTGCATTACGTTAACAGAAAGTATAATTTTATTTGTGATCAATTATAGAGTCTTCAAAGTGAAGTGATTTTACAGTTTTTAGAAATATTACTTCTTTAAATTGTTAAATTTCTTCAGTCACGTAAGTGTGTAATCTTTTCAAAAATTCCAAGGCAAATGTGATCTCAATACCCTCCTGCCTCGCCCAGAACATGTGCTGTTGCAACACAATGTTTTTCTCGACAGTGTTGCAGAGATCCACAAAGTTCTTAGACTTGAGCTCTTGCAGAAATCTACGAAAGCTAACGGAGTATCTCACTTTCTGCTGCAGCAGTTTATGAAAATGATCCTTCGGGATGGTGTTTAGGATTTTCTGAATCATCACGCTCAAACCACCTGTGGCGATACTCGGATCCGACTTAATGAAAATGGCTCTTGTCTCCCAAAGATCTTGAATTGTTCCGTACCAACTGTCGATTTCCAAACCGTTCTCCTCCAAGAAGCTCGTAAGACGAGCCAGTTGTGGCATTTCTTGACATTCTCTGGCGATAAACCTTTTCTGATCTTCGATGAAGCTCACAGTATCTTCGATTTGCGGATCGTATTTTAAATAAGTATTAACGATCGATTGTATCTCGATCAGAGGTATGAACTGTAGAATGTCTTTGAAATCTTCCTCCAGCGAGTTATTGCCCTTCGATAGATTAGCATTCGACAATGCGGTATCGTTTACTAAAGAGCCGAGGCGATAGGCTACGACGCTGAAAAGGACGAGTGACATGGCAGCTATTGCACCCATTATCATGACTGACCCGTACATTATCAGAAGGAGGAGGAAGATATCTCATCTGCAAGAAATTATATGAAGTAACGAAGAACGATAATCATACGAATTGTACGAGCACGATTACGTTTTATAGGATATCGGTATCTAGGAGTTGACCTGTATCTCACTAATAATACGGTGGGGTCTGCAATTTTATCAGACACACACTTGGTGATTTGATCGAAATTTATAATATTATCACAGATTCGTTTCTCTCTTTCTCGATAAAGTTATTGGAGAATTAAACTCGCGCGATCATTTCGTACGTCAATCGGTCGTGATTGAGATAAAATAGTTACGTCGCTGTAGATAATTACGGAGATTAGATTTTGAATGGCATTACTTACGAATATTTTATTCCCCGAGAAAACACCTGATCTATTATTTCTAGATGTAATTACATCACCAGAGCAGCGTGTAAGCTAAACGATAATAATTTTGAAACATTTTGATCAGGTTAGACTAAAAGAGACACATGTCAGTGAAATTATGGAGATTGTTACATGTTTGTCCGCTCATTAACAAACTGAAGTTAAAACATTTATATTCGTATATGTATAACTCCATACATTGGTTTGTAATATTCAGCATAGGGAATGATCTTGCGCTCTAAAATACATCTCTCTGATAAAATATACGCGTATAATTTAAAATTAAATAATTATATTAGTTGATTTAGATCAATAAACCGATGAGAGATATAAGAGATATTTTGCTTTTTCTTTTTAGTATTTCTTTATTATATTATATTATTTATATAGGTCACAAAAACGACACAAGTATGTTATGAAACAAAACTTTTATTTATTATTGCCCCAAAAAAATGAAATCGAATTTTTAAATAACTCGATAAAAAATATCAATTGAATATGAGGACATGTGTGTTTCATTGTTGCGTGTAACATCATAAATTACAAGTTGCGAGTGTTCAAGCTAAAATACTGGTGTTGGTATGGGAATCGGAACGATTTTCTTGTAAAAATCGGATAGTGCTTTAAGATCCAGGCCCTGGTCCATACATTTAGTGACCAACTTGATATAAGTCGGATGTCCGTACAGGTTAAAGATGATTTTCTTCATGTCCGGAGATGTCACTTTCTTGACAAAATCGGAAAAGACGTTGGTGGTCTTCATCTTTTCGTTGTAAAGTTCCTGTAGCTTCTCCTTAGGTATTATGGCCTCAAGATCGTTGAGCATCGCTTTCAGTCCTTCGCCGACCTTTTGCACTTCAAATTGGGATTTGAACATGTCGTCTATTTTAGGCGGCACGTAATCACCCATACCGATCGCTTGATGGAATACTTTGATCATTTCGATTGCGGGAATGCCAGCCTTCTCCAGAAATACTATCAAATTTTGATGTTCCTTAAGAGCCTCGACGTCACGAAGTAAGTCATGGAATTCGGGCGTCAATATGAAGGCAACTGCTTTCTGTACCTTTTCATCGTTGAGTGCGTATTCGGTCGTTATTTCAAAGAACTTCTCCAACGGGAGGAGTCTCACAAAGTCTTGCAATTCCTCGAACAGCGAGCGCTCAAAAGCAACAGGCATTAGCGTATGTTTCGGTACGGTAATACCGAGAACGATGTACATAATTTCGGCAACGATCCGCGTGTTCACCCCGCGGTCTTTCAAATAAGTCAGAATGGTCTGGAATGATTTCGACACGTAGACCTTATTAACGACTTGTTGGAAATTATTGGACTTGAGTTGCTGCACGAAACGGACGAAAGCCGGAGAGTTTTCCATTCTCTCTACGTAGTAGTGAATGAATTTGTTGTAGTCGATGAGTACTTTGACGTCTTTGAAGAATCCAGCGAGTCCACCGGTCCTCTTCATGGTCGTTGCGAAGTACGTGGGAGGTGTCAGCTCCTTGATACCTAAGATTTGGTTAATCACATTTACTATGGTGTAAATATCGACGCCTTCCTTCTGCAGGAAGTTGAGTAGGTTGATCACTTCAGGAACAGCTTCGACGTCTATCATCAAATCTCTGAGCACTTGACCGTTCGAGGCTTTGACGAAGTCAGCAAATTGTTTGAATTCAGCATCATTCTCCATGTAATCTAGGAAGATCCCGGCAATATCTTCCATGGGAATCAAGTCCAAAAAGTTCTGGATATCTTCATGAAGAGGGCCCTTACCGAAGTCCGGGAGATTGTGAGCTTGGCCGAAGCCGATTACAGCCAAAATGGCAAAGAGCGCTAGTGAGAACTTCATCTGTGAATATATTGACATGCAGCTAATTAATGTTATATATCAGAGACGTGTGTTATACAATATGCATATCAGTATATGTAAATACTATACGTTGAAAAAGAGAAATTAAGATGTATCGTTTTCCATGCTTGAGTAGAATATTAATCTAAGAATTGATAACAAAAATATTTGCCACTTAATATTAAATAATTATTAGAAAGAGATTGCTACACACATACACACACACATCAAATTACATACTTTTATTAAGAAAAAATATAGACTCTATATTCGATCTAAAAAATTCACAGCTAAGAACAATTTACGCCAATTTTGTATCAATGATCTCGCGTATAACGTTTAAATAATTTCAACAATTATTTGTCAAAGTTTTAGAAAGATATGTATAGATCTATTCTTTACTTACCGCGTCGGCTATGGACAACTGGCAAACAACACTGGCACCCATAAATAATTATCGCACCTTTATATACTAAAAGTGTCGCGATATTACAGATTGATTAATCATTAAAGAGGTTGATAAGATTAGTAGAAGTGATTGATTCTTGAGAAATATAAAGATTATTTGCTTGACAATCTACTAAGTATTAAAAATATAAAAGTTCATATCACTTGCTTCTTTTATATATTTTTTCATTTAAAGTGATGCGTACGTTTAATCAGAATTTTTTCCTGAAAAGTTTTGCTGCATTAATGTAATTCTCCCGCACATCTTGCGGCTTTATGTTTTTTAAATTTTTTTTAAATATCGAAATGGTTTACTAAATTGCAAAATCTGTAGTGAAAACATCAGTGTTATTTGATAAAGTAAGTAACTACGTTTCTTTATTAACACTTTCCCATTTCACCAATTTGTTGATTAACCGTTTGATGTTTTGCAACACATCCAATTATAAATATACATTTTACAGTATTAATTTTTTCGAAAATTGAGAAAAAGAGAAATGATATATTTAAGGACATATCTTTTAATTCTAGGAATTTCTTAATAAAATATTAAAATCAGAATATGAGTGTCTCATTCCAAGAAATCTTCTATCTATTATACATATTGCAGTGTACAAATTAACACGAATAAGATAGTTATCATTAGTTATTATTTTCAAAAATATATCGAATGAATCAGAGAAAAATGACGTAATGTCTTGAAGCCTAAGATCCTAAGATGTGATACTAAAATTTGTAGACATTAGTATGCAGCATATGTTAAATTCTTTGTCTAATTCACACCGTAACAAGTTCAGTCTATTAAACATGTTATTAAACATGTTCAACGACATTACTTATTTTACTTTATTTTTTTGTATTTGACACCAAATAATAGTTAATCATTTATTTTGACACATATTATAGTGAAATCTATAGCCAGTAACTTGATATTGTTCATATCTCAGCTATTTTTTTCTTAATATGTTCATCTTCAAGACGTTACATCATTTTCCTCTGATTCGTTCGATATATTTTTGAGAATAACAATTAATGATAACTATCTTATTCGTGTTAATTTGTACATTGCAATATGTATAATAAATAGGAGATTTCTTGAAATGAGATACTCATATTCCGATTTTAATATTTTATCAAGAAATTCCTAAAATTAAAAGATACATCCTTAAATATATCGTTTTAGATAAATTTTATTTTGTGTTTATTTATTTCCAACAAGAAATATAAGTATACGTATGACAGACAGATAATGTTGCTAGATTGGTATTTAAATAATTTTTAAGAAAATAATATTTTATTTATTTTAATAAAATATATGAAATATATGAAATACCACCTGAGATTGAAAATTCGTGTTCACGAATTCTTATCAAAAGATATCTGGCTAATTATATCATTTAATCCGCTCAACTCGTGGTAGGAGATTCTTTTAAACACACGTTTTCTATATATTTCGATAGTAGGAATGTATGTAAATAGTTAAAAACGATGGATACGTGCAATTTATTTAAAGGAATATTTGCTTTCATAAAATAAAGTAAAAAAGTATATTAGCGTATCAATTATATTTTTTTGTATTTCCAGTTATGTCAAATAACGCAAAAATTTTAATAAAAATAAACATCGTAACATATATTTAACAAAATATAAGATGTAAAAATAAAAAAATTATTTTATTGTATTATATGCACAAGATGTGTTTGTAAATTAATATAAATCGCTCTTAATGTATATAATTAATATCAAACCTCGAAATCTTATTTTATACAATTATGAAACTCGTATTTAAATATTTTTTCGTATTATTTATAAATATTTTACAGTAATGACGAACAAACAACATGTTGAACGCTGTGCTAGGGAAGTGAAACTGTATTTGCGTAATTTTCATGTTCTATATATTTTAATCTTAATTTTGTCGAAACCTGAACAAAAACTCAAGAATATAACATTTTATTTTCTTTTCCCTCCTTTTTTTTAATTCAACATCACTCAAACTAACCCAACTCAACAATTATTTTAGGTTAGACTAGATTAGATGATGTCAAAATAGATGATGTTAGGCTGAGTAAGAATAAAAGAGTGGAGTAGGAAGTAATAAGAAGAGAAAAGAAAATAAGAAATTGTTATATTCTTGAGTTTTTATTTAGGTTTCGACAAAACTGTGCTACTTTGAATGCGATTTTCAATATTTTTCCATCAATTTAGCATTCCGCCTTTTGTGTTGTAGTACTGTTTGTGTATATGTAATTTTTTTCATTTTTTATAATAAATATTTTGAAAGTTACACATTATTATTGTCGGTCACACTATTATTAGATAGACTATATATATTAAAAGTTATGTTAAAGGTAGTATATAAACGAAAGCTGGAATATTATTGTAATGTTGCGGAATAAAATCCGGTCATAAATAATGTTAATTGACATCTAGATTTCCAAGCTAAAATATAAAATATTTCTTGCAAATATAATATAGAATAATATAGAATAAAGATAATATAGAATAAAGATAAGGAGTTTCAGTAGAGAGGATGACATGTGCTATAATTTGTATACAGTAATATGATTTGTATTTATTAGTTTACGTGAAGTACAGCATTACATAGCCGAGTATGATATTTACGAGACGACCAATTTGGAAAAAATGCCATTAACGTGTCTGGTGATACAAGAGAATTTCGCGCTTCACGATAATATTCTGCCGGTAGGTGTCCGTCTAAGGGCGTCCGGGGATCTTGATGCCAAGGATAGTCTCCAACGCTTCTCTGACAGCTTTCAAGTCGACACCAGCCTTCCTAGCCTCATCCAAAAGTTTCTGAACCGTGGGGTGAGCATAGACCTTGTTGACGATCTCTTGGAAATTTGGAGATTTCAGTTGGTTGATGAAGTCAGCGAAAGCCTTGGATTCCTTGAGCTTCTTGTCGTAGAGGGCCTGGAGTTCCTTGATGGGGAGGATCGCCTCGATTTCGTCAAGGAATCCGCGGATTCCATTGGTCTTGTAGTTCTTGTACGCCGCACCGTCATCAGGCGGGGTGAGATGGGCGAGTCCGAGGAGGTCGTTCAAACCATTGACTATCTTGTAGATGTCAATTCCGGCGTGGTGGATGTAGTCCATCAATGTGCGGATTTCTTTCAGCGCTTCAACGTCAGCCGTGAGACTTTTGAATTCTGGGCTTTGCAAGAATGTGAACAACCTCTGGAACTCGGCGTCCTCGGTCACGTATTTAACGGCGATCGCAAACATTTCGTCGGTTGGCATGAGGTCCAAAAACTCCTGGATGTCCTTGTAGAGCTGGCCCCTACCGAAGTTCGGGATTTCGATCTTGGCGGACGCCGTAGCCACCAGGGCCAACAATGCCAGTGCGAATTTCATCTGTGAACATGTAAATTGGCTTAGAGGAAGTTCACGAAGATACGTTTAGTATATTACGTTAGTATATAGTATACGTTAATGTTTGAGGTGTTATTATATTGCAATCTATGCGCGAATCACGCATAGTAACGATTCTTTTGATTCGACAGGCTGATCGAAAAACTGTTTTCACCGATCGAGCTGAATTTTCGCAAATACTACGTTCTTAAAAGCAAATATTTAGTAGGACACTTGTAATACAAGCATTGACGGATGTTGGTTAAACATTGACCCAATCAGGCTTTCGCGTCACTCTCTTTTTATGAAAAATTGAATATTTTTCGATTTTTATTACATATCGCTGATTGAAATGTGTCATGCAGCATATTGATATGTTTGAAGTACAAACAAGTTGTTTTTTTTAATTAATCGAATAATCGGTGGAGTAAGAACTGAAAATCTGCCGTTTGGCAGTGGTCGGTGAAAGAATAAACACGCAAACTGTGAAGTAATGGCGCTTTCAGCACACCAAATACTTCAGTTTGAGAGAACTTGGATAAGGGTAGACAATAATAACATAATTACTGGTTAAAAAATAGTTACAAATTAATATATGTACGGATTATGGCATAAATTAATAATAATAATTTTTTGATAAAATGCGTTTGTGAAGTGCGTTGTGAAATGCGTTTAATTACTTTTTGTCAAGATTATTACATTTAATGCAGTTATAATTCATCATCAAAGAAGATAATTTTCGGAAATATAAAACAAAACTTTCATTTTTTGTCAAAATAGGTGAGATATAAATTTGTCGCAATATTGTTCGCGTTTGTTATGTCGTTTATTATATATAATTTATATAACTAATAATATATAATTTAAATTTTGGCACGTTCTCTAGGACCTACTCACCTTCGTGGTGTTGGTTGCTGGATCGTTGTACTCCAAAAGAGGTACTGATGCTTCGATGTCCGTTTCTTTGGCTTATATATACTCAAAATTAACTGTTGTTTGTTCAATGTACGATGATAAGATTATATTGATAACAAAAGCGCGCGATTCGATGTCAATGTGCATGTGTGATTATTGAAGTTATGTAAAGAATCTCAGAAAGAAAGAAGACGAGACCGACGTTTCCGATTGGTCCCCAGGTATTCGACTATTATTGATAATAGCAGGCGCGAATTAATTATTGTGCAAATGATATTAAGAGTACTCGATATTTCAGGAAATCGCGATTAATGTTCAACATGTAATTCATCATCGGTAAATCGCGGTATAACGATCGACAGTTTCGATATTGCTTTATTCTTATTGATTTGCGCAGTATGTCATTGAAGATGTCAGGAATTAAAATAATAAAAGAAAACGTTCGAAAGATGAGTAATAGCTGACGATATCATATTAATACAAGTGATTTAACGACTATCGATCACTGATCACTTTTGCAACATCTAATACTTGTGACGCACCAATGATACAAAAATTTGGCACCAATTTAGATTATAGCGCAAAAGTATATAATATTAGGACGTGATGCTTATAATATATATATACATAAAGTACATATCGGGTTCGAAAGGAAGCTTTACCCTTTTCACCCTTTTTAATAAATTGAAACAATAAAATAAAAAGTTTATTTTCAATATTTTTTAAGATATAAGCTTCACCGACTATTAATTTCCACATTTCACGAAGCTTATCAAAAATGTAAATCAAACCAATTTGTATCTATCTTCGTGGTCAATCAAACGGTGGTTGATAAGATGCAGGTTATCGAAAAGTATTAACTACTAATCCGCAGTATGATCATAAATGTAATATATATATTTCTCTCATCGGATCTTTCTTATTACACAGATGTTTTTTTAAATCGTACTAAAAAAGAAGAACTTTTTCTGTAGGTTAAGTAGAGAGAATTTTTTCGTCAAGAAAACTCAACATGAATAATTATGCCTAAACATCCAAGATTATTCTTAGATGTCCGTCTGTAAAATTCTGCAAGAGTAGATGTTGATGCTTCGTGTCTGCTTCGTGCCTGTATGAATCTACATTAAGTCGATTCGAAGTCGACAGTTTCAAATTGCATTATCACGCCCACGTCATAATCACAGATTATAACGTCCTCTAATGCATCAACTCGGTAAAATCTCTCATTTCTCGCGGCAAGGTAGCTTTTGAAGATGGATCGGCCCCGTTAAAAGGACTGAGCTCGAGCATCGCCGCTGCATCTTCGTTAGCGCGTCGAAAGTTTGGCCGATCATAAGAGAAAGCGGCCCACGCGCCGTGTGCTGCGAATGACTCCGAACGCTCGTACCTATTCGATAAATAAGAAGAGACGACGATGTAAGTCGTGTAGGTGACGCTAACTTTTAAAAGGAAAGTAAAGGGTACCCGGCATCCGGCAGCTTTTCGAGTCGGAAGCTAGACCTGGAAAGAACACCTTCGACTGCGGAATGGCTAGGTAGATACGTACAGGCACGAAAGAAGCAAAGCTGCCGAAGCAAACCGGGGAAGAGGGTGTAGGAGTTGAAGGGAGAACATAGAGAGAGAAAGAAAGAGACGGTGCTTCTCTAATTAAAATTGTTACAATTTAATAAGCTTTGGAACTCACCATTGGCGCGTCGTAATAGGAAGTCGTGAGAAGAATAAGTGAGACAGAGAGCGAAACGAGCGAGAGTTTGCCAGAAGGGGAATAAAGGGAGACCGGGCGCTTAAACGAGCGTCTGAGGGGAGACGGAGGAGCAGAAAAGGGAGGAGGAGGAGGAGGAGGACGAAGAAGTTGCACGAGGGTGAGAGAGAAAAAAGAGAGAGAGAGAGAGAGAGAGAAAGAGAGAGAGAAAAGAGGACAGGCGAAGGAGAAAGAAGCGCGAGAGGAAGAGGCGTAGAGAAGAAATCGTCTTCGTGATCTCTTAACTTTTCCACTCAATATAGAGCGCGATCTGTATCCTTTTTTTTGCGCGCCGCTCTTTAGAATATGGCTTTCGTGAAAGGTTTAACGCAATTTCACGCTTCTCCCTCCACTTTTGCGCTACACGTTCTGCTCGTTATATGTGCTGGATACAAGCTCGCTACTTGCTGAAAGATGTAAGGAGTGATGATGAAGAAGAAGATGAAGGAAGGCACACACGTACTCTGGTGATATAAATTTGATGTAAGTTACATTGTATCCGTGTGCGCTACATCGCATCGAAATTAATGAAAAAAATCCGTTGCAATTTTTAACTCACATTCTGAAATGAAGGTGAAAATTTCACATGTTATCTGCTAATCACAATCAATCTGATGAATCACAACAGGTGTGTTTTTATCTGCGCGCGATTTATTGTTAAGTATTTACAGGTGCATACAAGAAAACGTGCGATACGACAAACGCGATTATCGATTTGTTTTCTGCTAAATCGCAGTTTGTATCTGCGCAGCAAATCTTTTCGTTTCTTTTTTCCCCTTCCTTTGTCTTTAATTATCTCATAATCTTTAGCTCTTAATTGTCGCTTGTCACTAGAAAGAGAGAGAGAAAGAGAGAGAGAGGAGGAGAGAGAAGGAGAAATTGCAGAAGGAAATGTGCGAAACGTTTTTTCCGCGAAACTTGTGAAATAATTGGCTAATTACTCTGCTCCTTCCTCGCTCGCAAATATTTTTACAGCTTTTATACGCTCGAACTTGCACAGCTATTTCGTTCGATTACGAGCAATTAATAACGAAAAATTAAGCTTCACGGTTTCTTGACAATAACTAAAATTACGTTGGTAATATAAAAATCAACTTTTTAGCTAAGTGAAGACGGATTTTATTTACTTCGAGTTCGAAGTGGGTGGAAAAAAACCGAAAGAAACTTCACGGCCTTCTGTATTGCGCGCTGCACTACGTTTAATTGGCAGCGGCGGTAACATCGGCTTCATAATTGTACTTCGGAAGATCCCCGTTTCCTCCGAAGTTCCACCTGCGCACGGGGTTGCAACCGGGGCGAGTCATATCAAATTATTTTCTCCTACTGGCCAGGAAACTTTTGCCCGATATTATGGCGGCATGTGGCGGTAACAGCCTGCCGTGCCGGTCCTATCGTTACGAACGTAACGGCCTCGAGGATTTTCACGGCGAAACAAGAAGAATCAACTAAGAAAATGTGTTCGGAATTGCATTAAGGCGGCCCGCCGTCGGGCAGAATCCCGCGAGTGATCTCAATATCTCGGCCGCTGCTGCATCAGTACGCAATAACGAGTGAGACGCGAAGCGTTACGCACACGGCTGCATTCTGTATCTCGAATTGAACTGGGAGATGCGAAGCGGCTGTATCAGTGTTGTTACAGTTTCGATCGTTAATCTGTAGTGCGTGCGTTGCGAAACCTCACTGGTGGATTCACAAATAATGTAACGCGCTGTGTATTATTATTAATATATATATTTGTAACATATTTTAATATATATGTAGTACACGTTAATATATAGAGTATATTTGTGATGTTTAATCGAGTAACATAAAAAAAAAGTACGGACAAATTCAATGCATTATTGCATTTAATCGGCCCGCGAATGCTAATTAGAGACCCGCAAGTATCTGTTAACGAGGACACAATCGGACGAGCAGGTGAGATCTACTTGAGAACGAGGGGACAAATTTCAACATTGATATCGCCATTCCTTATCGCTACACATCGGCATGATAAATCAAGTGCAGCGAATCTAGCACAGATAATTATTCGAACATTCTTTATCAAGCGGCATCGCTCTTGATCTTTGCGCTACAAAGAGGAAGAAAAAATTCCGCCGAGCGTTATCGTCGAGCAAAGGACAGTGATCGATTTCCAAAATAAGAGAACGAGCTCCTATAAAAGTGCGCCGTTGTTACGCGGCGGCGGCGCGACGAGAAGAAAGCGGACGAAAAAAAAAATTTGTGTTTTACGACACGTAATCCGACGACGGCACCGGGAATTGGTGACCGACTAAACTCGGCCAATCGGAAGTCTCTCGTGTTTGATGGCGGAAAAAAGTCCGAGTGGCTCGGGGTGGACGAGGAC